TCTGGATTACTGTCAGCTCTGAGAACAGCTCATACTCTTCCTGGTTGAGGGCTTCCACCCTTGCCTCTCTGGTACCTCCAAATATTCAGGACTTGGGCTCCCGTTCTTCAGAAGTTCACCCTACTGTGATGACTCTGGCTGTTTCATGTTCACCTCCTGCTGAGTCTCATCCTCTCCTGATTCTCTGCTTCTCCATGGATCAACAAAGCCATAGCTGAATTATATGTTACCTGAATAATTGCAATGTTTGTCTTTATTAGTCTGAGCTCCACAATTCCAGGGAAAATGTCTTTTCCACTTGTATTCCTCTAGATCCTCCAGAAAAAGAGAACTTGAGAGCTTATAGAATACACACACACACACGCACATGCAGAAATGCACACACACAGTTTTATAATGAATTGGCTCATAAGGTTATACAAACTGAGAATTCTTTTTTTTTTTTTTTTTTTTTTTTTTTTTTTTGAGATAGGGTCCCATTCTGTTGCCCAGGCTGGAGTGCAGTGGCCCAGTCTTGGCTCACTGCAACCTCTACCTCCCGGGTTCAGCAATCCTCCTGCCTCAGCATCCCAAGTAGATGGGATTACAGCGTGTGCCACCATACTGGCTAATTTTTTTATTTTTAGTGGAGATGGGGTTTCACCACAGTGGCCAGGCTGGTCTGGAACTCCTGACCTCAAGCGATCCACCCGCCTCAGCTTCGCAAAAGCTGGGATCATTTTTTGGATCTTTTTTTTTTTTTCTCCTAAAAGAGCAGCCTGTAAAATCAAGCTGCAGACATAAGCTGCAGGGTTGCCCGGGTGAATGCCGGCAGCTGTACCAATAGGAAAAGGCTGCCTGGTGCTAGGCACATCCAACATGGTGCCTCTATCTTCCCTTTCCTTGCCAACCATGTGTGTAGTAGGGAGCATACTGCATGGCGCCAGCCAAGTAGAAAATCCATTTGCATAATAGATTAGGGTGGGGTGGCCAGCTCCTTCCCGTGATATGTAAATGTCACACCTGGGTCCAACCAATCTTTGGGCCGTATGTAAATCAGACACCCCCTCCTCAAGCCTGTCTGATGAAAATCAGGTTTTTTCCTGTGCTGTTGTGATAGTGAATAAGTCTCAGAAGTTCTGTGGTTTTATAAATGGGAGTTCCCCTGCACACGCTCTCTTGCCTGCCACCATGTACAATGTGACTTTGTTCCTCCTTGGCTTCCACCATGATTGTGAGGCCTCCCCAGCCATATGGAATGGGCAGTCCATTAAACCACTTTCCTTTATCAATTACCCAGTCTCAGGTATGTCTGTTAGCAGCATGAAAACAAACTGATACACTCCTCCTCCTGTTGCACACTCCCATGACCCCAGTGTTTGTGTTCTCAGGATAGGAGCTCATGACCCATGTGCATGGAAATTCCAGACCCTCAGCATGCATCCCTATGCCAGGAGAGCCCTGGGCTGGAATGGGAAGGAAGGAGTAGAAGAGAGGGTTAGACACAGGGCAGTCCCAGCCCAGAGAAGGATAAAAACAGTTATTCTCACTCTCACCCCTGCCTTACCTCACTTGGGGGTCACAGATGAGTGAAGAAGATTAACCATGTTGGAGGTTTACCTTTTAGGAAAGGAGATGGAGGCGAGGGACAGAGCAAAGGGAACCAGAGCCTTACATGTTCCTCTTGTCATGTCCTGAGCAGCATGTGGGTTCCGCAGCCCTTCACCCTCATGAATGCACTTCACATCTGCTGAGTAAGAGGGTCCTAGAGGAGTCACAATCTCCCCAAGTCCTGAGCTGAGTTTCTCAGTGTATACTGCGCATGAAATCTTTACAAAAGAGGTTGCTTCCAGAAGGGGTAGGGAAGAAGAGGAGATGAAAAGAGAAGGCTTTATTTTTCCAGCAGTGCTGGGGTCATCGGTAGCTCCTAGGTGGTCATTGTGGAAGGAAACACGTGAAGGTTAAGAGGCCCACCTGAAGTGGGAAGAGAGAATAGACTGCACCCCTTGCTCTTGTCCACAGTGCTGATTTTTTTTTTTAATTACAGACATCTCTAAAACCAATGGAATCAGGCCCCAATTTGAAGACCAGAATAAAAGGAGTCTTATATTCTAAGGGACAGGGTGGTTGGGGAACTCGTGGACAGTGTAAGTTCAAGGTTGAGTTTGCTCAGCTGCTCTGAAGATGAACACCTTTATTGAACTCTAAATAAATCTGGGATGTTATTCTCCTATTTATCAAAAGCAGAATGCCGTGTGTGTGTGTTTTGAGACAGAGTCTTGCTCTGTTGCCCAGGCTGGAATGCAGTGGTGCAATCTCAGCTCACTGAGGCCTGCACCTCCAGGGTTCAAGCAATTCTCCTGCCTCAGCCTCCCAAGTGGCTGGGATTACAGGCACCCATCATCACGCCCAACTAATTTTTTTATTTTTAGTAGAGACAGGGTTTCACCATGTTGGCCAGGGTGGTCTGGAACTCCTGACCTCAGGTGACCTGCCTGCCTTGGCCTCACAAAGTGCTAGTATTACAGGCATGAGCCACCACGCCCGGCCCATTGTTGTTTTCAAAAGCTCATTCATTTCTGAACTTCTGTCCCAGTGACTTTCTAGGAAAGGCAATGCCAGATACATCTTTTCTTGGACTCCAGTCCACTCTGGACATATTTTGTTTCCACCGGTAACCGTGGCCATTGTGTTGAGGAAGGAACAGAAACAAGATAGAGATTTTTTGAGCAGATTTCTATGAGCACCAGGCTGTCACCCTGCAACCACAGGACTTGAAAGTGACTCTCCTCTGCATATGACACCCACTGTTCTACTTTCCTCAAAATCTCACTTTCCTCCCCAAGAAAATAGAGCTCCCCAGCTGAACCAACACATGGGTTTGGGGATGTGAAAAAGGGAAATGAAAGAGAGAGAATATTTATGATTTCTACCACACTGGGAACTCATGGAACCTGCTGTAGCCAACTCAAGAAAGAGGAGCCAGACTAAATTTGGAGAAAGAGATACACAACTCCCATTTTTAGAATCCAAGAGGCCTGTAGTTTGTATTATTATTATTAATTTGTTTTTATTTTTATTTTTGAGATGGAGTCTCGCTCTGTCACCCAGGCTGGAGTGCAGTGGTCTGATCTCCGCTCACTGCCACCTCTGCCTCCCGGGTTCAAGTGATTCTCCTGCCTCAGCCTCCTGAGTAGTTGGGATTGATTACAGGCACCTACCACCATGCCCAGCTAAGTTTTTTGTATTTTTAGTAGAGATGGGGTTTCTCCATGTTAATCAGGATGGTTTCAAACTCCTGACTTCAGGTGATCCGCCCACCTCGGCCTCCCAAAGTGCTAGGATTACAGGCATGAGCCACCACGCCCGGCCCAGCATTCTTCATCTTAAATATATTTTGGTAAAGTTTTTTTTTTCCCAAAAAGGTAAAAAAAATTACTGTTCTACAAGGATAAAATGTATACAAGTTTTTATTTAACTTAATGCAGGAACTGGAAAGATGTTAATAGTTAAAAAATAATGCAAAGAGCAGACATTGATATGTTTGGTAATGTTTAAAGGAGTTCAAAAATAAGGCTAATTTTTGCATTTTTAGTATAGAGACAGGGTTTCACCCTGTTCGCCAAGCTGGTCCCAAACTTCTGAACCTCAGGTGATCTACCTGCCTGGGCTTTCCAAAGTGCTGAGAGTACAGGCATGAGCCATCGTGCCTGGCCATAGAATTGATTTTTAAGTGCGTTAATTAAACCTACTACTTTTCACCACAACATCATCTGCCTACATAATTTTTAGTTGGCTATCTCTTCTCAAATATGCTGCATGCTGTCCCCATCTTCCCCCATGCACATGATCTTACAAAGAACATTTCTCAGACGTGACTCAGAAATCAGCCCTGTCCAGAGGGGATTGTGGCAGCTGCTTCTGTCTAGGGAAATCAACTCTTCCAAACTTGGCATCTCCTCAAGGCTGTAGCTGGCAAGGCAGAGTCCAGTGTGACCTCCCAGTCACACGTGGGAAGATGTCCAGGTGTGACAATACCACAGACTGTTTTTCACACGCACACACACACAGGGGAGATGGAACCTTCTCTATGGGGAGGCTCTGAGAGGGAAGGAGGAGCTGTCAATCCCTCTCACCTGGAAGGGGGTGACTCAGGAAGGCAGCGGGTCTATTTGCTGGCACATCCTGGCCCTTGGTGAGATGAGGACAGGACAGTAGCTAAGGGGAGGGGAGACCCCATTTCTGTCTGTAATAGCTCCAGAGAGCCTGGGGCTCACTCCCAGAACAAGCCCTGGGGAAATGAGAGCCAGGCTCCTGGGGAGGGGCAATTCCTCTTTCTGCCCCTCATGGGCTCTCACCAGCAAGCAGAGATGTGGGAGTGCCCATGTACAAACATGGAAGATTGGGGGCACAGCTTCCCACCTTCACCTGGAGCCCTGGTTCCTCCCTACCTGTCAGGAACCTGGACTTCCTTTTCTGTCCCCCACAGAGGTGGAAACGTCCTTTTTGTTTGTTTGTTTTTTGCGATGAAATTTCACTCTTGTTGCTCAGGCTGGAGCACAATGAGGTGATCTTGGTTCACTGCAACCTGCGCCTCCCGGTTTGAAGCGATTGTCCTGCCTCAGCCTCCCAAGTACCTGGGATTACAGGTACCTGCCACTATGCCCAGCTAATTTTTGTAGTTTTACTAGAGATGGGGTTTCATCATGTTGGTCAGGCTGATCTCGAATTCCTGACCTTGTGATCTGCCGGCCTTGGCCTCCCAAAACGCTAGGATTACAGGCGTGAACCATCCTGCCTGGCCAAAAACATCCTTCTTAATGACCCCCTTGTGAATTCCCACTTCTGTCTGAAATACCTGCAGAGAGCCTGGTGCTTACCCTCAGAACAAGCCCTGGGAAATGAGAGCCAAGCTCCTGGGTGGTGGGGGGGGTGCAGTTCCTCTTTCTGTGGGGCTGCTGATGGGATGGCCTCGTGATGGGGAGGACCCAGCCCCCGAGTGCCCCACACCATGTGTCTGTCTGTCCTGTGGGCACCACGGTCACATCCACCTGCACAGCCGGGGCCAGAAGGAGGAGATGCCATGACTCCCATCCTCACAACCCTGCTCTGCTTTGGTGAGATCTTAAGAGGGGGAGGAGAGACCCTAGTCTAGGAGAGACCCCAGTCCATAAGCAGACCCTGGTCAATTAGGATACCCCAGGGGCTCAAGGAAAGAAGATCTGCTCTGGCTTTGGGGACAAATCTCTCACCGGGAACTCTCTTCCAGGGCTGAGTTTGGGCCCCAGGACCCACATGCAGGCAGATCAGTCTGTCCCCAGCTGTCCCAGGCTCCTCCTCCTATCTGGGGACAAGGGGCCACCCCTGGGCAGCTGGGGATAGAGAAAAGCTGACTGATGAGGATGTCTGGAGGGATCCGGGGCTGAGAGCTAGGATCTGAGGGGTGGGGACATCTTGGGGCCTAACCTGTGATTTCCTCCCAGAGAACTTACTCCAACCCATGTTGTGGGCCCAGCCAGGTCCTGTGATCACCTAGACCCTAGTCTAGGGAAGACCCCAATCCATAGCCAGACCCTGGTCAATTAGGACACCCCAGGGGCTCTAGGAAAGAAGACCTGCCCAGGCTTCAGGGGCAAATCTCTCACAGGGAACTCTCTTCCAGAGCTGAGTCTGGACCCCAGGACCCAGGTGCAGGCAGGTGAGCCTGTCCCCAGCTGTCCCAGGTCCCACCTCCTCACTGGGGACAAGGAGTCACTTGTAGGCAGGTGGGGCTGGAGAAGAGCAGCTCAGGGCTGACTCCTGGGGATGTCTGGAGGGTTCTGGGGCTGAGAGCTGGGATCTGAGGGGTGGAGACATCTTGGGGCCTAACCTGTGATTTCCTCCCAGAGAACCTACTCCAACCCATCTTATGGGCTGAGCCAGGTCCTGTGAGCACCTGGAATAAGCCCGTGACCCTCTGGTGTCAGGGCACCCAGGAGGCCCAGGAGTACCGTCTGGATAAAGATGGAAGTTCAATGTCAAGGACTATATTAAAAACACTGGATTCTGAAAACAAGGTCAAATTCTCCATCCCAGCCATGCAGTGGAAACATGCAGGGCGATATCACTGTTACTATCAGAGCCCTGCAGGCTGGTCAGAGCCCAGCGACCCCCTGGAGCTGGTGGTGACAGGTGAGAGGATGGACACTCGGGGGTCCCAGCCTCAGGCTCTGCCCTTGAGAAAGGGGTCAGCTCTCGGGGGCGTCTCCCTCTCACAGCCCAGCCCTGAGGGAGAGGGTGGGAGATGTGAGCCCCATTTAACAACGCTGCTGTTTTTTCCTCCTAAAGGCTACAGCAGGCCCACCCTTTCAGCCCTGCCGAGCCCCGTGGTGACCTCAGGAGTGAACGTGACCCTCCGATGTGCCTCTCGGCTGGGACTGGACAGGTTCACTCTGATTGAGGAAGGAGTCCACAGGCTCTCCTGGACCCTGGACTCACACCAACACAACCATGGAAGGTTCCAGGCCCTGTTCCCCATGGGCCCCCTGATCTTCGGCCACAGGGGTACATTCAGATGCTACGGCTATCAAAACAATACCCCCTACGTGTGGTCGGAACCCAGTGACCCCCTGCAGCTCCTGGTGTCAGGTGAGCACGCCACGGCCTTTCCTTACACAACGTCAGGGCACCGGGGGAGCTGTTAGCAGTCCTGCCCTCAGGCTAGTCCCACTCAAGAAGAAAAGATAAGGGAAAGACGGGCCCCTGGGGACACAGCTACAGAGTGAGGAAAAACGAGGACACTGGAAACCCTAGTGAGGAAGACTACGGAAGGAAGGGCTGTGGGAGGAACCAGCCCTCTGAGTCCTGGCTCCTCTTTCCCTCCAGGCGTGTCTAGGAAGCCCTCCCTCCTGACCCTGCAGAGCCCTGTCGTGGCCCCTGGAGAGAACCTGACCCTCCAATGTGGCTCTGATGTCGGGTACATCAGATATGCTCTGTACAAGGTGGGAGGCAATGGCCTCCCCCAGCGCCCTGGAGAGCAGTCCCGGGCTGGGCTCTCCCAGGCCAACTTCACCCTGAGCCCTGTGAGGGTCTCCCATGGGGGCCAGTACAGATGCTACGGTGCACACAACCTCTCCTCCGAGTGGTCGGCCCCCAGTGACCCCCTGGACATCCTGATCGCAGGTGAGGAGCCCAGTGGGTTCAGTCAGGGGCCCAGGCTCTGCACAGGCCCTGCCGGGGAGCCCAGGTGGTGATGGCCGGGATGAGGAGTGGGGGTCCCAAGGGAGGGAGAGACAGACAGAGACAGGGGATGAGTGGGGAGGGGGAGACTCAGAGAAAACAGAGACTGAGGGTCCCAGAGAGAGGCCTGGGAGGTCTCAGCTCAGAACAAGGTGGGGCAGCCCCTCACCCATCCTCTTCTCTCCAGGACAGATCCCTGACAGACCCTCCCTCTCGGTGCAGCTGGACCCCACGGTGGCCTCAGGAGAGAATGTAACCCTGCTGTGTCAGTCACGGAGCCCAATGTTCAGTTTCCTTCTGACCAAGGAAGGGACAGCCCATCCCCTGCTGCGTCTAAGATTCACTTACAGAGCTCAACAGTACCTGGCTGAATTCCCCATTCCTGTGACTTCAACCCACGCAGGGACCTACAAGTGCTATGGGTCACACAGCTCCAACTCCTACCTGCTGTCTCACCCCAGTGACCCCCTGGAGCTTGTTGTCTCAGGTGAGGCCCCTGACCCTGTCCTCTCTGACCTCAAAGGCTCAGCTCAGGCCCTGCCCCAGGAGAGCTCAGGACCCTAAGGAGTGAGGGGAGTGAAGGGAGAGGGTCCGCAGGGGAGGGTCCAGCCCATGAGAGGGTGGAAATAGATGGGGACCTTCCACCCACTGGCTTCCAGCCCTGAAATCTCAGTAGGGTAAAGAGCAGGGAGGGCTGGGAGGACATGGGGTGAACCTCAGAGGAGATGAGATTAGACTGAGGGCATAGGACGGAAGCCCCACGCACTCCCCTCCTGATGTCTCCACCTCAGATTCGATGTCTGGGTGTCCCAGCCCCTCACCACCAGGTCCTGACCCCATGGGAGATGAAAACACAGTTACTCTGACCCAGTGTAATATTCTACACTTGTCTCAATCTTATCTCCAATATTCGGGAAAGGGGTCTGTTCCCCAGAGGAGCGGAGGGGAGGGTAGACAGTAAGGGTGTGGTCCACATGGCTCCCTGAGGCTTCAAGGATGGGGCAGGTGTTCCCTCCATGGTGGTCAGAGGGGAGGGAGGTTTCCTGGGACCAGGCAGGAAGGAGGGAGCACTGATGATGGGTGGAGAACCAGGTCCTTCCCTACCTGAGCAGGATTTGGGGTCCAGGCCTGACTTGGACAAGGGGAAGATGCTGGGGCTGATGGAGGAAGAAGAGAGGTGGGCAAGTTGGATAGAGAACAGATGGACACTCCCTTAGAAGCTCTCATTTTTCATTTCCAAGAGCCCCTGGGGATGGAGCCCCTCACCCACACTTGTGGGGTTCCTAGGCCCTCTCATGACGGAGGGGAGGCTGCTCAGGCCTCGGTCGGATCTCACTGTGGTGAGGGTGGAGTCCACCCCAGATGTGCTCCTTTAGAGAGTACTGGGTACTGCTTGGGCCCCTGATGGCCTCTAGACTCAGGGCACCCCTGAGACTAAGGAGGGACTGTGCACCTGCCCCCTGGATAAGTTAGGGAATTATTCACAGCAGGTCTTGCATGTCATTCATTTCTGTTCTGTGTTTTCTGTGCACATTTGTCTGTTGCTATTCTTTTCCTGAAACTTTAAAAGCCATACTTATGTGTATCAGTTTAATTTAAAATACATGGATATATGATTTTAAAATAAGAATTCTCCAATTTTTATTGAGATACATTAAATGTTAGTTTAATAAACTAAGTAAAAAAAAGAGATACATTAAATGTATACATCCATTTAAACAGAAAGTCACTTCTTGTTAACATTAAATCTTTTAGCGCTTGTATTTTCATTTTAATTTATAATTTAACTTATTATATTTTATTTTTAGAGATGGGGTCTCACTCTGTTGCCCAGGCTGAACCACAGTAGCAGGATCATAGCTCACTGCAACCTAAAACTCCCGGGCTCAAGCAATCCTCCTGCCTCAGTTTCCCTAGTAGCTGGAACTGCGGGTGTGCACCACCACATCTGGCTAATTTTTTTAAAAAAATTTGTTCCTGTAATCCCAGCACTTTGGGAGGCTGAGGCAGGTGGATCACGAGGTCAAGAGATCGAGACCATCCTGGTCAACATGGTGAAACCCTGTCTCTACTAAAAAAAAAAATACAAAAAATTAGCTGGGCCTGGTGGCACGTGCCTGTAACCCCAGCTACTCAGGAGGCTGAGGCAGGAGAATTGCCTGAACCCAGGAGGCTGAGGTTGCGGTGAGCCGAGATCATGTCATTGCACTCCAGCCTGGGTAACAAGAGCGAAACTCTGTTTCATAAAACAACAACAACAAGTAGGCCGGACGCAGTGGCTCAAGCCTGTAATCCCAGCACTTTGGGAGGCCAAGGCGGGTGGATCATGAGGTCAAGAGATCGAGACCATCCTGGACAACATGGTGAAACCCCATCTCTACTAAAAATACAAAAAATTAGCTGGGCATGGTGGTGTGTGCCTGTAATCCCAGCTACTGGGGAGGCTGAGGCAGGAGAATTGCCTGAACTCAGGAGGCGGAGGTTGCGGTGAGCCGAGATCGTGCCATTGCACTCCAGCCTGGGTAACAAGAGCGAAACTCTATCTCAAAAAAAAAAAATATATATATATATATATATATATATATATATATATATATTTTGTATATGTAAAAATATATATTTTTTGTATATATATATAAAATATATGTATATATATACAATATATATATGTATATACAAAAAATGTATATATATGTGTATATATATACATATTTTTTTTTTTTTGACGGAGTTTCACTCTCGTTACCCAGGTTGGAGTGCAATGGTGCAATCTCGGCTCACCGCAACCTCCGCCTCCTGGGTTAAGGCAATTCTCCTGCCTCAGCCTCCCGAGTAGCTGGGATTACAGGCACGCGCCACCATGCCCAGCTAATTTTTTGTATTTTTAGTAGAGACGGGGTTTCACCATGTTGACCAGGATGGTCTTGATCTCTTGACCTTGCGATCCACCCACCTTGGCCTCCCAAAGTGCTGGGATTACAGGCGTGAGCCACCGCGCCCGGCCTTATGTATATATTTTTTTAAAAATTTTTTGGAGACAAGGTCTCTCTATATTGCTTTTTAAGATTTTTTAAATTGAAGTTATTAGTGAATTTTGGAAATGTTTTGAAGTTTTATTTAGACTAATTGTGTACCTTCATATGTACATTTGAGAATTGCTCAACCACTTTATTGGTTACAATATTTATTGGTAACAATAATACAATACTTTATTGGTAACAATATTTAAGTAGAGTTCTTGATTTCTTTGCATTTTATATGAAAAAGAGTTAAGAATCCATCACAAAGCTATTTTTTTGTCTGTATTAATTTATTTCACATGAACTTACTACAGATTCTGTCCCTTTTAGTTGCTTTTCAATTTATCTCTTCTGATTTACTCATGAAGTTTATATCAGCCATAAAAAATTAGAAATTTCACTTTTATATTTCCAAATTGTAAGCCTGTCTTTCTCATCTCAAATATGAATATATATGTAGTTAAATAAATATTTTTTAAAACAAATCTCTAAAGCCATATATCCAAATGCATGTATAATGATTATATTAGTCTGTTCTCACACTGATAGAAAGAACTACCTGAGACCGGGTAATTTATAAAGCAATGAGGGTTCACTGACTCACGATTCCGCAGGCCATACAGGAAACGTGGCTGGAGAGGCCTCGGGAAGCTTTCCATCGTGACAGAAGGCGGTGGGGAAGCAGACGCATCTTATATGGCTGGAATAGGAGGAAGAGAGAGAAGGGGGAGGTGCTACCCACTTTAAATAACAAGATCTCGTGACAGATCACTATCACAAGAGCAGCAAGGGGGAAGTCCGCTCCCACGATCCAGTCACCTCCCATTGGGCCCCTCCTATGGGGATTACAAGTCAACATGAGATTTGGGAGGGACACAAATGCAAACCATGTTAATCACATATATTTTATATGAATATATGTGTTATGTACCTATACAGACATACACATATAGGTATTAAGCATAGGAATGCTTAATATTTCATTCATTCCTATGCTTAATATTTTTTCATTGGTTATGTCTTTTTGATATTTACTTGTTTTTATTTTACTTTAAGTTCGGGTCTGGTTTTTTTGTTTTTTGGTTTTTTTCGATGGAGTTTCACTCTTGTTGCCCAGGCTGGAGTGCCATGGTATGATCTTGGTTCACCACAACCTCCACCTCCTGGATTCAAGTGATTCTCCTGACTCAGCCTCCCAAGTAGCTGGGATTACAGGCATGCACCATCATGCCGGCTAATTTTGTATTTTTAGTAGAGATGGGGTTTCTACATATGGTAAGGCTGGTCTCAAGCTCCTGACCTCAGGTAATTTGCCCGCCTCAGCTTCCCAAAGTACTAGGATTACAGGCGTGAGCCACCACACCCGGCCTCGGGTATGTTTTTAAATATTTGCTTTTCACCTTCCAATCTAGGTTCATACTTCAAAAAAGCAGAAATGATGTTTTTCTATCCCACTCATTATCATTTAGGAAAAAAAATACATTTTTGTATTTAACTATATCACACTGTAGGTGTTCTTAACTATATGAAGAATTTGTTGAGACATTAGATGGATGGGGAAACGGCAGGGGAGCTGGCTGAGGCAGCACGAAGCAGGGGCGGTCGTAGCCCTCAGCCCTCGTGCTCCTGACTTTCAATAGCGGCTGAGGACCAGCTCCTCATCCACAGAAACTGGGTCCTCCTCCACTGAAAAATGGAGGTTTCTATCTCTGGGCGAATTTGCTGTGTTCTTGTTGCACACGATTGCACATCTAAGACAGCACTTAAGAACTCAATTCTTTCTAGTTGGGAGATGATTCTTCTCACTAATCTTGAGCTCTTGGGCTCAAGGAAACTTTGTTCCAAAATGACTCAGACACAAGATCTTAATTCCCAGAGCACAGAGAAGCTGAAGAACCCAATGAGGTACCAGGGAAGGCCTGCCAGAGCACAGATTGTGTTCACTAAGGACCCACATAAAGTCACAACACAAGAGACAGAGGAAGGTAAGAATGCAGAACCCCGGTGAAGGGCTCTTCAGCTTCTCACCAGCATCCTTGTTCTTCAATTCTTAGGAGCAGCTGAGACCCTCAACCCACCACAAAAAAAGTCAGATTCCAAGACTGGTGAGTGAGGAGATGCTTTCAGTTACGGGTCGGGTCCTGTCAAGGGGAGGTGGGTGCCCTGGGTGGACATCCTGGGGTCCTAGGTAATTTCAGTCTGCCCTGACCTCTTTGTCTACCATCCCCAGCCTCACACCTCCAGGATTACACAGTGGAGAATCTCATCCGCATGGGCGTGGCTGGCTTCATCCTGGTGGTCCTCGGGATTCTGCTATTTGAGGCTCAGCACAGGCTTAAAAGCCCCCAAGATGCAGCCAGGAGGTGAACAGCAGAGACAGTGCACCCTTCCGAGTGGTGGAGCCTCAGGAACAGATCTGATGGTCCCAGGAGGTTCTGAAAGTCTGGGGCAGCAATTGGGGATGTGTCTGCTGAGAATGTCAAGGGGAAGAAGCATGGATCAGGTGCAGGACGATGTCTGGGTGTCTGTAGAAGATGCTTCCTCCACTAAATTGTGGTGTTTTCCTCCTCACTGTCAACTCTCCTTGACTTCCCCTCCCCTCCTTTTTCTTCCCTATGATGTGAGGCTTTACCCATACGGTGGGTTTGGATCTACTCCACTTTCAGGTAATAACGTCTTTCATTATTTCTAACTACTGCATTTTCTGATGTGTATTACTGGGACTATCTTTTCAGCTCATGACACGACATTTGCTTTTTGATAATTAAATGCATGGGCAAAAATCAGATTCATGTTTGGAAAATTTAAGTCCAGATGATGCCCTACCACTTGTAACTTTTCCTCTGTAGTTTCTCCGGAAATATGGTCACTGGGAACGAAAACAGAGGTGTTTGATGGAAAAGCCTGCAGTTGTACCCTAAACTGGCTTTCTGAACAACAACAAAAAGTTTTCTAAAAAGCATTTATGGTTGGGCACAGTGTCTTATGCCTGTAATCCAAGCACTTTGGGAAGCTGAGACAGGTGGATCATGAGGTCAAGAGATCGAGGCCATCGTGGCCAACATGGTGAAACCCTGTCTCTACTAAAAATACAAAAATTAGCCGGGCATGCTGGCGGTTGCCTGTAATCCTAGCTATTCAGGAGGCTGGGGCAGGAGAATCACTGGAACCTGGGAGGCTGAGGTTGCAGTGATCCTAGATAGTGCCACTGCACTCCATTCAGCCTGGAATCCAGATTGGTGCTAGGTAGGAAGAGGGAGGGTCTTGGAAAGGCCACCAGGTAGATGGAGGGGAGAGCTTTAAGTGGAGGTGAGGACTCCAGGATAGATCCAGTTCCTCACTCCCTTTCTGTGCTAATTTCCAGGACCCCTGGGGGTCCCAGTCCCCCACCCACCGGTCCCACCCCCACACCTGGTAAGTCACTGAGGCCTCTAGGCTCAGACGGATGGATCCCACGTATGTCTCATGACTCTCAGGTACGAATCCTGTGAACATGCTGACCTCTGCCTTCTATGTGACTGACCAGTACTATGAAATGGGCATAAATATGAAAAGAAAACATACTGTCCCCACATTCCTTAAAATGAAACTGGGTCCTCGTCCTTGGGTTTTTGCTGGATTATACTAATAAAAAGCATCTCCTACAGCATATTCCATAGACTCACATCTCAGAGAAGATTCCTCCCACAGTCTCGGGGCCCTAAACACATTGCTCTACTCTTGGGGCTTGGAGACACTCTGCACTTGGGTCTTCACCCCACCTGGGTGCCCTAATTCCTTCTTCCTCCATGTTTCATACAGTGGTTTTTCCCAGTACTGCTGTCTACTTTGCTCTGCAAGAAATTCCTTGCTGGTTCCACTGCAATCTCTTCAGGGTTTCTATTTCATGACGTGGAAACGGAATGCTTCATATACCTTGAAAAGTAGAAGAATTATCCAGACAGTATAAAATACAAACATTCATCTAGCAAAATATTTCTTAGTACATCATAAATTCAAATATATATAATACACAATGAGGATTTTATATATTTTGAGCGATGTTGAAGTTTTTTCATCACATCTTTTTATAATTCACTGCAAACTAAGTTATTATATTGTCTGGGAATATAATGTATAAGATAGCCATTTAGAAAGAATTTTTTTCTTTTTTGTCCACTAAATACTTAATATTTTATGTGCAATGCCTGCCTTAAATATGGGCATTCCCTCCTTTGAGATATGTGTTCATAAATGTACACACATATACACACACACGTATTTACAGTGTCATCTACAAATACTGTGTATACACACATAGTGTGCTTGTATGTAATATGTAAATAATACATACATAACACCTAGAGTAAGTGTGTGATATCCTATATATCCGAATATATGCAGATTCTTTTCTCTATACAAACTCTATAATATTCCTTTATACATCTACGTGCATATATAATATGTGTATATAGTATTTATGTACATATGTAAATATATACATATTAACATATATACACATATCAGAATTTGTTTTTCTATATAAATCCCATAATGTATATAACTAGAACATTTTACCATATATATGTACTTTAGATTGAAAATTAACTTGTATACTTTACTCATTAATTTTTTCTCTTAACCTATCAGATTTCGTAAGTATTTGTTTCAATCACCAAATAAATATAACTTTATGTTGTATATATTTTAGGAAGCTATGGTTAGATGAATGAAATTTCACATATATTTTGTCACCTTTAATATACTTCCTTTTTTTTATTTTAATAGAGATGAGTCTTACTATGTTTCCCTGGCTGGTCTCGAACTCCTGGGCTCAAGTGATCCTCATGCCTCAGCCTGCAAATACCTTTTGTGCCCAGCCCTTACTACCTACATTAAAACACAAAATTTTAGTTTGTTGTTTTTTTTTTTTTTTTTTTGAGACGGAGTTTCACTCTTGTTACCCAGGCTGGAGTGCAATGGCGCGATCTCGGCTCACCGCAACCTCCGCCTCCTGGGTTCAGGCAATTCTCCTGCCTCAGCCTCCTGAGTAGCTGGGATTACAGGCACGAGCCGCCATGCCCAGCTAATTTTTTGTATTTTTAGTAGAGACGGGGTTTCACCATGTTGACCAGGATGGTCTCGATCTCTCGACCTCGTGATCCACCCGCCTCGGCCTCCCAAAGTGCTGGGATTACAGGCTTGAGCCACCGCGCCCGGCTAAAATTTTAGTTTTTATTTCTAAAATTTTTTGTATTATGTTTCATTTTGTTGGATATCAATATTTCCAATAGATATTTTAAGAGCGTACCTTTCTTCCCTTACTGATTGGAAATTATCATTTTACTTTAGATGGTACTATTGTGTTTCATTCATGGGTGTTATTGGGGGTATTGAGCTATTTAACTCATCCTTCAATAGATGAATTCCTCTTTTAAAGACAGGGTAAAAAAATGAATAATTTGGAATAATTTCACCTATTTAGTTAAGTATTCATTCAATTATATATTTCCGAGTGAGGATTCATTTATCCTTGTCTTTAAGGGAGACAGGTTCTAATTCCATTGTAGCTAAACTTGAGTACTCATATGTACATGCACACGTACTCATACGTGTGTGCCCGTGTGTGTGTGTGTGTGTGTGTGTGTGATTTTCAAATACTTGCCTGTTTCCCACTTTTCATCACTGTGGCATCTCACATTCTGTATTTTGGATTTTCTTCTAACTGGATTATATCATTTAAAATCGCTTTCACTGAGCATAAAAACAGTAATATCTAGTAACTTGAAGAAAATGCCTTCTTCTTCCTCACACTCTATCAAAGTAGATGAAAACACTTCTATGTTAATTAAAGGATAAGACAGAACACCTGAAGAAAAAGCACATCTGATGATTGAGGGATCCATCCTCCAATCCCTCCTCAGCCCTCATGCAGGGGAAGCCTGACCTGATCAGCTTCACAGGTCCGTCTTATTCTGAGATGCTTCTGCTTAGGAATTGGTCCCCTGCTAACCCTTTTACCTTTCACATATTAACTTGGGTGAGCATCGAATTCCTCACTTTCAATACATTCCTTGAAGGTGGTACTTCAACATCTCCTGGGCTTTCTTTTTTCTATTGGGAGTCCCATCCCAATGAGAAGCAATTCTTTTGATATGTCGAGTTGAAAATCACAAAACACAAAAATGTGTTTTAAATTAGATAATTCAATCTAGTATATGTATTTGTTAATTTACTCCTATTTTTCAGTTTATCATGATAGGTCAAGATTTGCACTTCATTCTTACCGTAGTGTCTTAGTTTTTCTTCATCTCTTTCAAATGTTTAACTCTGTTTCTAGAGCTGTTGCCAGACCTCATTCTCCTTTCTTTCCTTCTGACATGTACAATAAATATGACGTTATTCCTCCTCACAATATTTTCCCAAGTACTGTGAATTTCCACTATTGGTCTCTCCATGGTACATTCTGGACAGTTCTCTCAAATTTTGTTTTCCAATTTACTAAATGTCTCTTCAGCTGTATCTTGACCTTGATGAAATAAATATTTTCATTGTATTTCTTCAATTGGAATTTTTACCTCTAGGATTTCTAACTCATTGGTCTGATGCCCATTCTTCAAAATTATAATCCATATTCTTGTCTCAAAGATTCAATTTCCTCTTGTATTTTTTTCAGATATGTAAACATGTTTCATTGAAAAGGGGTCTCATGCATTCCTTATGTTCTATTTCTCTGGATATGATCATCCTTATCAATGAGTGTGTATATTGATCATCAGCACTTTTTATCATTAGGATAACTCTTGGTTGTCTATCTTTGTTGGACACTCACTTGCTACACCCATTAGTGACCTTAGTGACCATAAAAGGCTGTTCTAGTAATTCCGGCCTAAAAATAGGGAGTTGTTCCCGCTGCTCATGACATGTGGCACTCAGCTTCCAAGCGTAGTGTCTGCTCAAGTTGCTCCCAGAAGAAATAAATCCACGTGAAACTCACATTCACACGTGGTACAGATGCCCACACATAACAACACTGCAGTGAATTTGTTTCACATACACATGGGGAGTTGGCTCAGTGGTGATTATGGGCCAAGATCAGTAAGCAGAGATGTCCCATCACAGGCTGCAGCCTTGCTGAGAGCCCCAACCCCTCCCTGCCTGTGAGGTCCCTGGGCTCCTTACCTGTTCTGCACAGTAATGGAAACTTCTACCCTAATAACCCTTAATGGCACCAGATTCAAATGCTGTGTTTGTGTGTGTGTGTGTGTGTGTGTGTTTCTTTTTTTTTTTTTTTTTTTTTTTGAGACAGAGTTTCGCCCTTGTTACCCAGGCTGGAGTGCAATGGCGCAATCTCGGCTCACTGCAACCTCCGCCTCCTGGGTTCAGGCAATTCTCAGCCTCCGGACAAATGCTGTGTTTTTAAATGCTTCTTCTGAAGAGCTTTCATTTCCTATTTTCTTCACATGACCATGACAACCGGGGTTTTGATGAAATATAGTAAGAAACATCTCTCAAGGGTAGGAACAAAGAGGTACTCCTGAGTGGAAACATCAGTCACAGGCCTTGAGCATGGACACCAGCATCCCTTTATGTCCCCACCCTGTATGTCTCCACCTGCTCTGGAAATCACCATGGCTGAGCCCCGTGCAGCTCCCAGGCACCAATGACCCAGCTCCCCTGTGATGAATGGAGTTCATGATGGGCTTCAAATGAGGAAACTGAGGCTCAGAAATGGGAGGTTATGGCCAAGGTCACACGGGCAGGAGGTGATATGTGAATATTTAAATGAAGATGAGATTTCCCTTCAAATCAGAGTGCTAAACCCATGTATTGTCCCAAAACCTGAACACAGGAGCAAAACATGAGAATAGGAGTGTTTGAAAGAAAATGGGGGCACCAAGAAAGCAGAATCAGGTCAATGTTGTTTCCAGGGAGATGGTGGATGCTGTGGTGACAACTAAGGAGAAGTTTGTGAAGAGAACTTTTTGCATAAAGAAAACCCACACTTCAGTTCTGGGAAAAGGGTCACGATCTTTCCCTTATTTCCCTATATTTCCTCTTTTGCTCATTGCGACAACGAAGCACAGATGGAACTGCACAGACAGATGAGAGATGGGTCTCTGCTGATCTGAGTCTGCCCTGCAGCCTGAATTCGCATCTTCCCTGAAGCCTCCCCAGGGCTGCTGAGAGGACTGGCCGTGGTAGGGACCCTACAAGGATATGTTTATGGATGAGCTGAAGGAGGAGGGAGACCCCATGGGAGGATGCTGAGAGGGAAGGAGGAGTCCTCCATTGCCTTCACCTGGAAGGGACTGACTCAGGAAGGCACCGCCACGTCCATTTGCAGCTACCTACTGGCCCTCAATGAGATGAGGACAGGTCCGGCAGACAGTGAAAGGACATCAGGGGAGATCCCATGTTTGTCTGAAATATCAGCAGAAAACCTGGTGCCTGTCTCAGCCCAAGCCCTGGGAAAACAAGAGCCAGGCTTGTGGTAGAGCGGAGGACAGTTCACTACCCATGGAGATGCTGATGGGAAACTTCTGTAAGCAGGAGAACACGGCTTCCGGGTGCCTACGCCCTGTGTGTTCTGTGGACACCATGGTCTCTTCCATCTGCACAGCCAGGGCCAGTAGGAGGAGACGCCATGACTCTCATACCCATGGCCATGGCCTGCTTCACTGAGATCTGACGAGGGTAATGGGAGATTCTAGCATGAGAGGGACCCTTCCCTGCAGGTAGGCCCTGGTCCAGTAGGAGACTCCAGGGGCTAGGGAGGATTCCATTCTCATCCTCTTGGGAAAATGTTTTCACTTCTCCCCATTCAATTTGATGTTGCCTGTGGGTTTTCATGTAGGGCTCTTATTTTGAGGTATGGTTCTTTCATGCCAAGTTTGTTGAGGGATGTTGGACTTTATTAAATACTTTATCTGCATATAAAGTTTTGACTTTATGACTCATGACGTAAACCTATACTTTATGATCATATGCTTTTTGTTCTAAGTACAGGTTTACGTCATGAGTCACCTTTATTGACTTGCATATATTGAACCATCCTTTCATTCTGGAATAAAGACAACTTGATCATGATGAATTATGTTTTTGATACACTGTTAGATTCTGTTTGCTAGTATTTTCTTGAGGATTTTTGCATCTGTGTTCATCAGGTTTCTTGGCCTGTAGTTTTATTCTTCTGTTGTGTCCTTGTCTGATTTTGCTATCAGGGTGATACTGGTTTCCTAGAATGAGCTAGGAATAAATCCCAGTTCCTTGATTATTTTGGAATAGCTTCAGTATGATTGGTACCAGCTCTTCTTTGTACACGTGGTAAAGTTTGACTATGAATCCATCTGTTCCTGGGCTTTTTTGCTGAAAGACATTTTAGTACTGATTCATTTTCATTGCTTGCTATTGATCTGTTTAGGGTTTCTATTTTTTGCCGGTGCAATCTTGGAAAGTTGTATGTGTCTAGGAAGTCATCCATTTTCTCTGAGTTTTCTAGTTGATGTGCATAAAGGTGTCCACAGTCATCTCTGATCTTTTGTATTTCTGTGGTGTTTGTTGTAATGTTGTCTTTATCATTTCTGATTGTGCTCATTTAAATCTCCTTTTTTTTTTGTTAGTGTAGTCAGCCGTCTGTCAATTATGTATATACTTTCAAAAGCCCAACTTTTTATTTCATTAATTCTTTGCAATATTTTTGTCTCAATCTCATTCTTTTTCTGTCCTTTCGGAGTTTCCTTTTTTTTTTTCAGGGTCTATTGCCAGAGAGTGAATGTGATCCTTTGGTGGTGCCACAATATTCAGATTTTTCACACATCAGAATCCTCACACTGATTCCTTCTCATCTGGACAGGCTGCCACTCATTCTCTTTGGATTTATTGTCACTGGGATGGGGTTTCTCTGCACATTTCCCCCAGCCCCGCAGGGAGTGTGACTGTAGAGCATGTTGGGAAGGGTCTCTAGGCTTTTCTCCATAGTCTTGGGCGCTGCTGCAGCAGGGTTTGTGTTGGGCTGTGCAGTTCAAATGCAGGCCGGGAGCTGGTGCTTAAGGGGAAGAGCCAGCCTCTGCACAAGCAGGTGGGTATGGACCTGCCGCTTCCTGTGAGGTGCTGTCTGTTGTTTCAGGTGAAGGGCTGGACTGTGGAGTGTCTGGAGCCCTGAGCTTCCTGTTCCACTGGGTGAGGAAACACAGCTGGGCAGAGCGGGAACCCCTGGTTTGCCCAAAAATATCCCAATGATGAGTATAGGCACCAGCTCTGATTGGTGTGGCTGGGGCAACTCCTGGTGAAATGCCCTGAGGTCTCTGTGGCGTGAGAGGCGGGGCGATGAAGGACCTACATCCATTTCCATTCCTTAGAAGGGAGGAATATTATCTGTTTCTCTATCACATGCCTGCTCCAGGACTCTTGAGTCTCAGTTCAGACACACACTGTTGTCTCTGCCCAGGCCACTGTGTGGCTGAGAGCCGTGGGAAACACCTGCCTGCCACTCTCTGCGGGAATTATCCCAAGGTAGAACCTCCTGACTCAGCGCAGTGCAGACCCCTCAGCGGCTGCCTGTGTCTGACGTGGTCACGCTGCTGCTGCATGTAGCTGGGATGTGGGGCTTCTGCCTTTCTGGCTGGACAAGCGGATGTCAGTTGTGGTGTTGCTGGCTGGGGGGACCCGACCTCAGGCCCTGGGGTGAGTGGTCAGGTGCCAGCAGAGTGGGAAAGGGCTGGCAGTTCACCGGATCACAGGCCTCTAGGTGGCCAGCTGGACAGCGTGTGTGAGTCCTAAAGGGGCTGGACTAGGATTCGGTTGTTCCAGGGTTCAGGTGCCGGCTGTGATGAGGAGGGCTGGGCCGGTCCCCAGGTCACCGGCAGAGCTCTCCGGCGGGGCAGGCAGAACACTCAGGTGGTAGAGCCTGGGGGCAGATCACAGGCCTGTGGGGACCGGGCTCTCAGAAGGGGGCTGCGGCTGAAATGTCCAGGTGGGGGCCGGGCGGCTGTGCTGTGGGCCTGTGACTGGGGAGGGCAGGGCCCCTTGGCTGGGGCACTGGAGACGGGCAGGTATGGGCGCAGGGCCCGCTCACACTCCCCTCCTGAAGTAGTGGCACTTGATCTTGCTCTGGGGACATGCAAAAGTGCCAGGTCTCCCCATAATCTCCCTGGGCCTGGGGCAGCAGGGGCCGAGGCAGAGGTGGAAGTGACTGCATAGGGCTTGTCAGGGGCCTCTGAGCATTAGGCTTTCAGAGGGCACCCAGCCAGGGCCACAGTGTTCTGGTGGGGACAGGATGGGTGCACTGTGTCTCTGAAGCTGGCAATCCCCATTTAGCAGGAAGCAACAGAGATGGGGAGCTGTGGGGTGCTCAGCTAGGCTGCTCTGTACCCCAATTGTCATATTCTCAGGTTTGTGGAAGTGCCTGGCCTCCTCCCTCCGTGGAAAGGCAGGGGCAGCTGCAGCCAGGTTGCTTAGGTATGAAAAGCCTATGGGATTCCACGTGGCTCCAGTGGGGCCTCAGCACACTCTAGGGGCAACCTGTGTGCCCAGAGGGCAGGTACTGTCATGTGAGCAGGATTGTAAGAGTCCACAGCAGAGGGCTGGATGCCAGGGGCTCCCACTCACCCCTTCCCCATGTTAGGGGGCCTCTCTCTCACCCCTTCTCCTTTTCAGGGAGCCTCTTACTCACCCCTTCCTTGTGTTAGGAGCCTCTCCTGGCTCTCAGCTTGTCTCTTCTCTGCCTTCTGTGTCCCCGGGGTTCCCTGGTGCACCCCAGCATCCTCTCTTAGAACATCCGCTGAACATGTTGGTATTTACTCACCATTTAGGTTCCTCTCTGAGAACGGCACACACCACCTGCTTCCATTCAGCCAGCGTGAGCCTGAACCCATAGGCATTTTTTCAGCACTTCATACTCTTTGGAAATCAGGTCCTCATGAGATTGTCATTATTTGAGAATAAATTTTGTTTGTTTCATTGGTCTCTAAATTACTGTTATTTATTCTAGATACCCTTCACTCTACCATAGTTAACATGTTCATTTCACTGATGAATTTGCACATATTGAATTCATGTTCTTTCTTCATTTCTGTGAAAATATCAACTATTTTCTTTGCAAGTATTTACTAACATACTCCTTTCCTTCATTCTGAAATTGTGAACAGAGAGATACCTGTTTACTCTTCTCATTCTATTTCTGAGCACACTAATTTTCTTTTCTTTCCTTTTTTTTATCTCTAGAGTTTCTGCGATGGCTTCTGAAAAAGAGAATACATATTCTACACCAATGCGATATTTATCATTTTAGCTGTGTCTTGTTCTGGATGAAATTATTTCTAAATGTGTTGATATAATTTACTATTTTTCACATCACTATAGTTTCCTAATTCATTTCTATAATTGCCTGTATTTTCTCTAATGAACTCTTCGATTTTTATTCCTCTGGGGTGCTTTTTCTCTCACACACCTGATCTTCCTTAGGGTTTCTCAGGGCTGTCTCAGGAATGAAAACTGATGAGGGTTATGCTGTAGCAGCTCCTGCCAGGCAGTGTCCACGATCCCAAGCTTAGAATCAGCTCCGTGTTGTGCCTGGCACAGCAGGGCCCTTGTCAGCCTCACACTCATGGGTGAGAGATGCCTGGTCCAACAGTGATAAAGTGTGTCTGTGTTATGCGCACCCGGAAAGGTGGCTCAGAACTGAGTGTGGCCTGAGTCACTGAGCTGAGCTATTTCAGGGCCTGTCCACAGAAACAGAAGAGAAGGAACCACAGTCTCTCCATGGTGGAACCATTTCCTAAACTTCTCTCTTTGTTCCGAAAGAGAGAAAGACAAAGTGCCCTGACTGCTCTGTGGGCTGGACAGATGTACGTTTTCACCTGCAGGCTTGAATCCAAGCTCAGGTCTTGAGCATTCCCAGCTACTGATAAAGCACCTTAGGTTATTTCTAGAAAACACTGAAAATTTAACCCTTTTGCTAATGGTGTAGAAACAAGCCCTTCCCTGAGCAAAATTCCTGAAACTCTCAGGTTAAACTTCATAACCCCAGTTCCTTCACTACAGACACCCAATAGGCAAGTCAGTTGCAAGGATGAGATGACTCATTTTTAAAAAGGGGAAGTTGAGATAGGAACTATTTGGTTGAAAGAAAAACGAAAATCCAGTGCCAGGAAAGAAGTCAACTTTTCTTCCCCTGTTTCACTGCATTTCTCTTCTGCACTCACGGCCACAGGCAGCTCAGCCGGGACCGCACAGACAGATGTGAGATGCATCTCTGCTGACCTGAGCCCGCCTGCAGCATGGACCTGCATCTTCGCTGAAGCATTTCCAGGGCTGAAGACACAACTGCTGAAGTAAGAGCCCCACAATGCTGTGCTGATGGACAGGCTGAAGGAGGGAGGGAGGCCTCATGGGAGGCTGTGAGAAGGAAGAGGAATCCTTAGCTCGCCCTCTTCTGGAAGGGCAGATACAGGAAGGGACCAGTTCTATTGGCTGCTACATCCTGGCTCTCAGTGAGATGAGGACAAACCAGACAGACAGTGGTTGTGAGTCAGGAAAGACCCCATTACAGTGTGAAATGTCTGCAGAGGGGTTGGGCCCACCCCCACCTCAGCCCTAAAGGAATGAGAGCCAGGCTCCTGGGGAGGGCAGTTCTGCTTCCTGTGTGGCTGCAGATGACACAACCCCATGACAAGAATGGCCTAGCAACCAAGTGTCCACACCCTGTGTCTCTGTCCTGCCAGCACCGAGGGCTCATCCATCCGCAGAGCAGGGCAGTGGGAGGAGACGCCATGACCCCCATCCTCATGGTCCTGATCTGTGTCGGTGAGATTTGAAGAGGGAGCTGAGATTCTAACCTAGGAGGGACCTCACCCCACAGCCAAACTCCGGTCCATGAGGAAACCCCCAGGGCTCACGAATACCCCAGGGAGGGACGGACCTGCTCAGGCTTCAGGGGCAAATCTCTCACAGGGAACTCTCTTCCAGGGCTGAGTCTGGGCCCCAGGACCCACATGCAGGCAGGTGAGTCTGTCCCCAGCTGACCCACGTCCTCCTCCTCACTGGGGACAAGGGCCACCCCCATGCAGCTGGGGAGGGGAATAGCAGTTCTGGGCTGACTGATGGGCATCTGGAGGGTCCTGGGCTGAAAACTGGAATCTGTTGGGTTGGGTGGAAATGACTTAGAATCTGACCTCTGATTTCCTGCCAGGGACCGTCCCCAAGCCCATCCTCTGGGCTGAGCCAGGCTCTGTGATCACCCAGGGGAGTCCCGTGACCCTCAGTTGTCAGAGCAATCTGGAATCCCCGGAGTATCATCTATATAAAGAAAAAACATCAGCATCCTGGCTTATGTGGATCCTACGGGAGCATAGGAAGAAGGCCCAGATCCACATCCAGTCCATTACCCAGGAACACGCAGGGCGGTATCATTGTCGGTATCTCGGACTCACTCACTGGTCAGAGCTCAGTGACCCCCTGGAGCTGGTGGTGACAGGTGAGAGGACACTCAGGGGTCCCAGCCCCAGGCTCTGCCCTCAGGAAGGGGCTCTGCACTCGGGCATATCCCTCTCACAGCCAAGCCCTGGGGATGATATGGCTTCGATGTGTGAGCCCCACTTAACACGGTGCCTCCTTCTCTTCTAGGAGCCTACAACAAACCCACCCTCTCAGCCCTGCCCAGCCCCGTGGTGACCCCAGGAGGAAGCATGACCCTCCAGTGTGGCTCACAGCTGCCATTTGATGGGTTTGCTCTGTGTAAGGAAGAAGATGAACACCCACAACGCCTGAACTCCCAGCCCTGTACCCGTGGGTCATCCTGGGCCGTCTTCTCCGTGGGCCCCATGAGCCCCAGTCGCAGGTGGACGTACAGGTGCTATGGTTATGGCTCAAGCTCTCCCTATGTGTGGTCTTCACCCAGTGATGTCCTGGAGCTCCTGGTCCCAGGTGAGAAATTCACAGCATTGCCTGGAGATCCCTGAGTCTCCGGGCAGGTGGGGAGGAGCCGCGTCTTAGGGCATCTCCAGGTTGGACAATGTTGGAGTGAGAGGGCTCAGGGCTCCTGGGTCAGAGACACAGGAAGATCTGCAGTGGTGAGGCTGGGGGAGAGGGAGGATTTGTGGGGAGCCTGAGGGTCGGCTCCTGGAGACCATGACCACCTTTCCCAGGTGTCTCTGAGAAGCCATCACTCTCAGTGCAGCCGGGTCCTGTCGTGGCCCCTGGGGAGACCCTGACCCTCCAGTGTGGCTCTGACGTCGGCTACAACAGATTCGCTCTGTACAAGGAGGGGGAACGTGACATCCTCCAGCGCCCTGGCCGGCAGCTCCAGGCTGGGCTCTCCCAGGCCAACTTCACCCTGAGCCCTGTGAGCCGCTCCCACGGGGGCCAGTACAGATGCTACGGTGCACACAACGTCTCCTCCGAGTGGTCGGCCCCCAGTGACCCCCTGGACATCCTGATCACAGGTGAGGAGCCCAGTGGGTTCAGTCAGGGGCCCAGGCTCTGCACAGGCCCTGCCAGGGAGCCCAGGTGGTGATGGCTGGAATGAGGGGTGGGGGGTCCCAAGGGATGGAGAGAAAGACAGAGACAGGGGATGGGCGGGGAGGGGGAGACTCAGAGAAAACAGAGACAGAGACTGAGAGTCCCAGAGAGAGGCCCGAGGAGGTCTCAGCTTAGAACAAGGTGGGGCAGCCCCTCACCCATCCTCTTCTCTCCAGGACAGATCCCTCACAGACCCTCCCTCTCAGTGCAGCCGGGCCCCAGGGTGGCCTCAGGAGAGAACGTGACCCTGCTGTGTCAGTCACAGGGGTGGATGGACACTTTCCTTCTGACCAAGGAGGGAGCAGCCCATCACCCCCGGCGTCTGAGATCAAAGTCCCAAGCTCATAAGTACCAGGATGAATTCCACATGAGTCCTGTGACCTCAGCCCATGCGGGGACTTACAGGTGCTACGGCTCACGGAGGTTCAACACCTATCTGCTGTCCCTCCCCAGTGACCCCCTGGAGCTCGTGGTCTCAGGTGAGGGCCCTGACCCTGTCCTCTCTGAGCTCAAAGGCTCAGCTCAGGCCCTGCCCCCAGGAGAGCTCTGGGCTGGGATGGAGGGAGTGGAGGCTCTGACGAGGCTCAGCCAGAGGGACCTCAGCCCTCAGAGGGAAGGAGGACAGTGGGGCCCTCCCAGGCACACCCACCCTCAGCCGCATCACCGGCATCATGAAGAGGAGGTGGGGGAGGGGACTGGAGGGCCACAGGGCCAATGTAGAGAAATTTGGTTTGAGGTGGAGGCTTCTGGCAAGGCTCAGCTCCTCCACCTCCTCTCATTCTTTATGCAGGACCCTCCAGGGGACCCAGCCCTCCACCCACCGGTTCCACCCCGACACCTGGTGAGTGATTAAGGCTTCTTGGCTGAGACGGAGCTCAGCCTCCCCCAAGGCAGTCCTGAGTCTCCCAAAGGATCCCATTCCCCTCAAGGACTCAGCACAGACTTCTCTCCAGAGAGCTGGGCAGAGACATAGCGGGGGCCACAGGCTACCAGGGGCTCTGAGGCTGGGCTGGTAAGGGGCAGCGGGTTGAGGCAGTGGGAGATGTTGGGGCCCAGCCTGAGGGAGGAGGAGCCGGACTGACATGGGGAGCAGGACGGCCCCAGGCTTCAGCTCTCCATCCTGACCCAGCAGTCCCTGAGGACCAGCTTGTCCCTCCCACGGAGTCAGATTCCCACAGTGGTTAGTCAGATTCTCTGAGCGGGAGATGGGTGGGGTCCAGGGGAGGCAGGGCTGAGTTCAGGCCCCTCCCCTGCCTAGGCCTCAGTTTCTTCAAGTATAAAGGAGAGAGGCCTTCGGGGTGGGAAAGTTCCTTTCAGCTCTGACTCCCAGCTGTGACCTCCTGGGAGAGGAGGCCACCTGGGGAAGCCTCCCAGACTCGATTCCTCAGGGGCCTGTCCTGTCCCACCTGCAGCAGTGACAGTGACGCTGACCTGGGGCAGGGGAGGGGAGCAGGGCTGTGGTTCAGGAGGTCAGGCTCTTTCCTTGCAGCTCCGGGGCTCAGCTCAGGTGCAGGGAACAAGGGCTGCAGGTCAGACTCCCGGGTTCCCTTCCTTGCTCTGCAGCTGCCTAGCTGGGGGGCCTGAGGCAGGCAACTCCCCTCTCTGAGCCTGCTTTTTGTCTGTAAAGTGGGTGGGGTGGACATGTCAATTCCGTGCTGCTCGACTGTTGTGGAGGTTGGAGGAGATGAATAAGAGGGCCAGCAGTCACCTGCACACAGTAGGCTCTCAATTCAATGACATCACCCCATTCCTGATGTCATCATGCTCAAGGTCTGGGAAGGAACCTAGGGGTTGTGACCGGGGTCTCAGTGGCCTTCGTCCTGCTGCTCTTCCTTCTCCTCCTCCTCTTCCTCGTCCTCCGACATCAGCGTCAGGCGAAACACTGGACATCTGGTGAGTACAGAAGGGGAAGATCCTGTGGGTCAACCAAGGGTGGGCTCAGGGCACCAGCCAGAGGGAATCCAAAGCACTGGGAAAATGCAGCTTTGAAAAACTTCTAGCATTTCTCACCAGGCGAATCGAGAAAGCACTTAATGTCAGTCCCCACGTACAAATGTAAAGTGTCCTTCGGGCTCTATCTTATGAGACATTTGGAGCATGGAAGCAGGAGTGTTTCCAGGTTTCCTCCCTTACCTTCGAGCTGCGTGTGCAGGGCAGGTGTTCCCAGGGCTGAGACTCTGTCCTTCTTCACGCAGCCCAGAGAGAGGCTGATTTCCAACATCCTGCAGGGGCTGCGGAGCCAGAACCCACAGGCAGAGGCCTGCAGAGGAGGTAATTCTGCCCGAAGACCCCAGACTCCCCCCACCCCAGCCCACACACTGCTCCTAAAGCTCCCGTGTCCTCTCCTAGGTCCAGCCCAGCTGCTGACACCCAGGAAGAAACCCTCTGTGAGTGAGAGGAAGAGGAGGTGACCCCAGCCAGGAGGGAGATGGGGGCCCACAGTTTCCATAGCAATGAGAAAAGGGCACAGGCTGGAAGGGGTCTGGGGCTCAGGGTGACAGGATCTCACTCCACACTGTGGGACCTCAGGACATCACAGCCCCTCCCTGGATCTCATCTGCCCCATCTGGGAGCTGGGCAGGGGCTGGCGGGGCTGAGAGGTCCCAGGGAACCTTCCCAAGAGATGAACCCCTTGCTCTGTCCCAGCAGATGCTGCCGTGAAGGACACACAGCCTGAGGACGAGGTGGAGCTGGACACTCAGGTGAGACCCCGCCCCTGTCCCGGGCACCAAAGGCCTCCTGGTGCCAGATCTAACCCAGCAGGACTTCTCTGTCCTCCTTCCCTGGCTCTCAGCACCGTCCAGGGTGGACTCTCTGTGTCCAGCATGCTGCCTCCTGCCTGCTGTGACCTCTCTCTCTCCTGGTGTCCTGGGACCTCGTGGGCCTCCTCCCGGGTGCCCTTCCTGCTCCTCGTCCTCTGTTTGGCCGTCTGGTTGTTCGAGGGCTCCCCAGGCCTCAGGAGGATGAGGAATGAACCACCCCGGTGCCCTGGGCTCCCCTTCATTCATTCACCCAGCGAGTGTTCCCAGGAGCTCACTGTGGATGGGGCTCCCCGTGGGAGCTGCAGACACAGCAGGGAGCAAAGCCGCCCCCGCCCTCCTGAGCTCACCTCATGGTGGGAGACAAAATGCAAATGAACGCACAGTGTCCAGGAGTGCGACGTGCTGTGAGGACAATAAACCAGGGAAAGGGCAGAGAGTGCGGGTGAGTGGGGCCAGTCTGAATGGTGAGGGGAGGGCTGTCTGGTCAGCTGTCATCTGAGAAGCCCGGACGGAGAGGGCCACACCATCCTCTAATGGACGAGCCCCTGCAGGCAGAGGAAACAGCAGTGCCCAGGCCCCGAGGCAGCAGTGAGCTCTTGTGGGAAGGCGGGTGTGAGGCTGCAGCCAAATGGGCAAGGTCAGAGTGAGGAGCAGAGGCCAGAACCGCAGGGAGGGAGCAGCCGGACCCTCCACAGCCTTAGCGCGTCCCTGAGATTCCATCAGGAAACGGATGTAAATGGATCACTCTGGGAACACTGGGAAAACTGACTCCAGAGAATCAGGGGGACTCAAGGATACCCTCCAATCTGTCTCTCTTGAGCAGAGCCCATATGATGAAGACCCCCAGGCAGAGACCTATGCTGAGGTGAAACATTCCAGACCTAAGAGAGAAGTGGCCTCCCCTGCTTCCCCACTGTCCAGGAAATTCTTGGACACAAAGCACAAACTTGCAGAAGAAGACAGGCAGATAGACAGTCAGGTAGATACTTTCCTCTCCAGGCCCCCAGGCCTCACCCACCTTCCACTACGTTCCTTCCCTCTCACTCTCCCTCCACTGCAGGCTGCTGCATCTGAAGCCCCCCAGGATGTGACCTACGCCCAGCTGAACACCTTGACCCTCAGACGGGAGGCAACTGAGCCCCCTTCATTCCAGGAAGGGGCCCCTCCAGTTGAGCCCAGTGTCTATGCCACTCTGGCCATCCACTAGCCCAGGGGGGACCCAGACCCCACACTCAACAGAAGACTCAGGGACTCCAGAAGGCACGTAAGCTGCCCCCAGTGGATACCAATGAACCCCAGCCAGCCAGGACCCCTAACACAGACCACCAGGACATTCTGAAGACATTGGGACTCACTTGATTTCTGCAGTCTAAATAACTAATATCCCTACCTTTTTTTAGTTAAAGCAACAGACTTCTCAATAATTAATGAGTTAATTGAGAAAACTAAAACAGAAGTCAGAATCTGCTTGAAACTGAATCACAATATAAATATTACACACCATGCAATGAAATTGGAAGATGAAAAACCACAACTGAATAAAGTAGAAAAGAAAAAAAAAACCTAGGAAATGAATGATCTTGGCTTTCATATGCGGAATTTAGAAGAAGAAGAAATTATTCGAAATGAAGGTGTAAGGAAGGGAATAATAATATGAGGAGTTTCTCATTAGGAAAAAACAAAACTTGAAAATTCAACAAAGCCAGTGAAGCTCATTCTTGAAAACATTAATTACACTCATGAATTCTAGCTACAATGAGCAAGAAAAAGAAAGAGCAGGCACACATTTCCATATGGGAGTGAGTGAGCAGACAGCCCTACAGATCCTACACACATTTTTAAAAACTTAACAACAGAACAGGCTGCAGGCCAGGCACAATTGTTCATGCCTATAATCCCAGCACTTTGGGAGGCCGAGGTGGGTGGATCATGAAGTCAAGAGTTCAAGACTACCCTCACCAAGATGGTGAAACTCTTGTTTCTACTGAAAATACAAAAATTAACCAGGCGCAGTGACGGGCACCTGTAATCCCAGCTACTCAGGAGGCTGAGGCAGTAGAATTGCTTGAACCTGGGAGGCAAAAGTTGCAGGGAGCCAAGAGCCAAGATTGCGCCATTGCACTGTAGCCTGGGTGACAGAGTGAGACTCCGTCTCAAAAAAAACCAACAACACAGGCTGCAAGCCTGTGCCAATATGCCAATATACTAGAAAATGCAGATTACACAGATAAAATATTCAAAACTGTAGATTACTTAATGAATGTAAGAGTAAACAGAATCCGAATCATTATAGATGTGTGTATGTTTTTCACATATATATGAAAAACACACATATATATACACACACACGTTAATAAAAATGTTCTCATGGTATAAGCTCCAGTTCTCAGACTCCAGAAGGCACAGGAGCTCTCTCCAGCAAGGCCTGCGTGATTCAGACCCTCAGCAGTGACCTATGCTGAGGTGAAACACTCCAGACCTAGGAGAGAAATGGTGGAAGCTCATTGATTTCTTTTTTTCTTTTTCTTTTTCTTTTCTTTCTTTCTTTTTTTTTTTTTTTTGGTGATTTCTTATAAATATTATTTCGGGAAGCTTCATTGGTGATTTCTTAAAAATATTGACATACGAATGAAACACACAAACACACTCAGCATCACAAATGTTTCTTGAGAATAGAAAAAGAGGCAATGCGCCCGGGTGCAGTGGCTCACACCTGTAATCCCAACATTTTGGGAGGCACAGGCGGCAGATTACTGGAGGCCAGGAGTTCAAGACCAGCCTGGACAACATGGCAACCCATCTCTACTAAAAATATAAAAATTAAACGGACTTGGTGGTGCACGCTACAATCCCAGCTACTTGGAAGGCAGAGGCAGGAGAATCACTTGAAAGCAAGAGATGGAGGTTGCAGTGAGCTGAGATTGTGCCCTTGCACTCCAGCCTGGGCAACACAGACAGACTCTGTCTCATAAAATTAAAAAAAAGAAGTCATCACATATAAAATGGAATTTTCCATCATATAAAAGGCATGTTTTGAAATGTACAGTTTGTTTCAAAATAATAATTTTTATTTTAATGTTTTACTTTATTTGGCAATAAAAAATTATACATATTTAGGGTGTACAACATATTTTAATACATGAATATCCTGTGAAATCCCTAGGTCAAGCTAATTAACTTATCTGTAACATCACATAGTTATCTTTTTAAGAGAACATTTAAAATCTACTTTCTTACCAGTTTTCACATATACAATCCATTCTTTGTAACTGTAGTCACTGTATTGTACAAAAGATCTGCTAAACGTACTCCTCCTATGTAACTGAAATGTGGTCTCCTTCAATACAGCTCTCTGATTCCACCCAGCCCAGCTCCCAGGAACCACCTTCCACTCTACTTCCATGAGTTGGCCTGGTGCATTCCACACATAAATGAGATCATGCAGTAGGTGACTTCCTGTGCCTTCTTTATTCCACCTAGCGTGATGTTCCCTAGGCTCATCCATGTTGTCACAAATGAAACTATTTCCTTCCTCTAGAAGGCTGAATAGTTTTTTGCTGTGTATATACTGGGCACTTCATTTTCTGTATCCATTCACCTGCTGATGGACACTTGGGTGGGTTCCATGTCTTGGTTATTGTGACTGATGCTGTAGTGAGCATGGGAGTGTGGGCATCTCTTCAACATTCTGATTTCATTTCCTCAAGGTACACATCCAGCAGTGACATCGTTGAAACATATGGCAGTTCTAATCATTAACTTCCGAAAAACATCTGTGGTATTTTTGTAGTCATTGTACTCACTTACATTACCACTAGCAGAGTGCAATTATTCTATTTTTTCCACATTCTCATCAACGCTTGTTACTCTACTCTTTCTTTTTTTTCTTTTTTCTTTTTTTGAGCTGGGGTCTCACTCCATCACCCAGGCTGGAGTGCAGTGGTATGATCTCATCTCACTGCAACCTCCGCCTCCTGGGTTCAAGCAGTTCTCCTGTCTCAGCCTCCTGAGTAGCTGGGACTACAGGTGCCTGCCACCACATCCAGCTAATTTTTTTGTATTTTTAGTAGAGACAGGGTTTCACCTTGTTGGTCAGGCTAGTCTCGAACTCCTGACCTCAGGAGATCGACCCGCCTCAGCCTCCCAAAGTGCTGGGATTACAAGCATGAACCACATGCCCAGACTACTCTTTTTCATAGTAACCATCCTAACAGATGTCAGGTTATAGCTTATTGAAGTTTATATGTATGTATGTATACACATATATGTATACATCCAAATGTATGCATACATATGCATCCAACTGAATATATACATACATATACATATGTATATATGTGCACATACATATGTACATATATATGCATGTGTGTATATATGCATACATATGTATACACGTGTAAAAAGTAAAATTTTGCAGTGAAATATCACTTCACAGCTGTTAGATTGGCTATTTTCAAAATGATGAAAGGTAAGTGCTGGTGAGGATGGGGAGAAAAGAAAATCCTTGCACACCATTGGTGGACATGTAAGTTAATAAGCCATTTTGGAAAACAGTATCAAAGCTCCTCAAAAAACTAAAAATGTGACCACCATATAATCCAGAAGTCTCACTTTGTATATACCCGAAGAAATGAAATCGGCACACACATGTCCACACTCCTAAGTTCATGCAGCACTATTTACGATTACCAAGTTATAAAAATGATTGTATTTTTCAAAAAGGATTCATTTCTCCTCTCCCTGCAGAGAATTAAAATTAGCTGAACTCGGCCGGGCGCGGTGGCTCAAGCTTGTAATCCCAGCACTTTGGGAGGCCGAGGTGGGTGGATCACGAGGTCGAGAGATCGAGACCATCCTGGTCAACATGGTGAAACCCCGTCTCTACTAAAAATACAAAAAATTAGCTGGGCATGGTGGCGTGTACCTGTAATCGCAGCTACTCAGGAGGCTGAGGCAGGAGACTTGCCTGAACCCAGGAGGCGGAGGTTGCGGTGAGCCGAGATCGCGCCATTGTACTCCAGCCTGGGTAACAAGAGCGAAACTCCGTCCCAAAAAAAAAAAAAAAAAAAAAAAAAAAATTAGCTGAACTCTGAGTACTCACCCTAGGAGGGTGCATGTGCATGTGTGTGTGTGTAAGTGGTTTTCCCATTCTGAGTACTCATCCATGTATGTAACTATGAGGATGCATGTGCACATGTGTGTGTTTCAGTATGTGGTTTTCCCATTTTTCCTCCCTCAAGGATGCCACATTATACATTTTAGATTCTTCGCTCTTCCAACTAAATTACATCATTTAGAATTGCTTTCACTAAGTGTGACAAGAGTAAAATATTTTTTAAACTGTGACTCTGGAAATACCTTCCTTTCCCTTTCACTCTCTATCAAGTTTATGAAAAAAAATTAATTTTTTTTTTGAGGCGGAGTTTCGCTCTTGTTACCCAGGCTGGAGTGCAATGGCGCGATCTCGGCTCACTGCAACCTCCACCTCCCGGGTTCAGGCAATTCTCCTGCCTCAGCCTCCTGAGTAGCTGGGATCACAGGCACGCACCACCATGCCCGGCTAATTTTTTGTATTTTTAGTAGAGATGGGGTTTCACCTTGTTGACCAGGATGGTCTCGATCTCTTGACCTCGTGATCCACCCACCTCGGCCTCCCAAAGTGCTGGGATTACAGGCTTGAGCCACCACACCTGGCCAAAAATTTAATTTTTATTTATATTTTAAGTTCTGGGGTACATGTGCAGGATCTGCAGGTTTCTTATACAGGTACACATGTGCCATGGTGGTTTGCTGCACGTATCAGTCCATCACCTAGGTATTAAGCCCAGCATGCATTAGCTATTTATCCTAATGCTTTCCCCTTCCTGCCCTGCACTCCTCCAACAGGCCTCAATGTGTGTAGTTCCCCTCCCTGTGTCCACAGGATCTCATTGTTCAGCTCCCACCTATAAGTGAGAACATGCAGTGTCTGGTTTTCTGTTCCTGTGTTGGTTTGCTGAGGATAATGGCTCCCAGCTCCATCCATGGCCTGGCCAAAG